AAGATGTGTTGTTGGAGGTTTTCCTGTATCAACTCATTTTTATTAATCTGTTGGTTTGGCCTACTTATGTGATACCCTAGTTCTTCCCTCCTGGTAGCGACATGGTGTCTCTTGACAATTTCTTTCTTCTACCTACATCTTTGTTTGGAATTCCTGCCTGCGTAAATTCTGCCTTTCCATTGTCCAACAAATGCTTTATTCATCAATGAACAAGACAAATACATGGACCCAACCAAAAGAGGAAATAAACAAGATTTCCTGAACGAATTGGAATTGGGTTGAGGGAGTAGGATAGTAAGAGAGTGGAGAGGAAAGGGACGAGGGAAGAGAACAGGAGGGATATGAAAAGTCAAAATGTGTTAAGGACAGAAAGGGAGAGCAAGGAAAGTGATTCTTTGATGGAACCATTAACAGTTTTAACAAGCAACCAGCACTAGAGAAAAATCCCAGGTATCCACAAGGAAGACCCCAGTGAATAATTTAAGCAATAATGGAAAGGGTACATTTACTGACCTTCCCTATAATTACATTGAAGACTAGCTTGAATAATATCATGGAACCTTCATCTATTAACTGATATAACCAGATGCAGAGATCCATAGCTAAGCACTGTACCAATCTCCTGGATTCCAGTTATAGAGAAGGAGGAGCAAACAGAAACAGCTGAAGTGAGCATATGAGACCTTGCTGAGTCCAGACTTGACAGCTGGAGAACCAGCATAAGACTGAAATAAGCCCCCTGAATGTGGGTGACAGTTGGGGGACATGGGCAGTTTATGAGGCTACTGGCAATGTAACTAGTAAGTATCCCTAGTGCATTAACTGGCTATTTTAGGGACCGTTACCTGTGGAGGAATACCTTGCACAGCTTGGATTCAGAGGGAAAATATTTGCACATGCCCCAAATATTATTACAGTCTTTCATGATTCCCCAGGAGAGGCCTAATTCTCTGAGGAATGGATGGGGGTGGGGTGTTTTCAATGTTTGGAAATAGTGGGATTCTACACAGAGTGAACTGGAATTTGTAGGTACCATAAAATTGTTTAAAAATAACATAGATAAGAAACAACAAGGGAAACATATAGACACAGCATACAGAGGGACATTCCCCATGGAATGAACTCCCATGCTCTTGAATAAGTAGTAAAAATGGTATTACCAAAAGCAATCTACAGATTCAATGCAATCTCCATAAAATTCCCAACACAATTATTCACAGACCTTGAAAGAACAACACTCAAATTTATATGGAAAGAAAACAGGAAAGTCAAAAATCATGTACAATAAAGCAACTTGTGAAGGCATCACCATCCTTTACTTCAAGCTCTATTACAGAGTTATAGTAATTAATGCAGCTTGGTATTGGCACAAAAACAGACAGGTAGACCAATGGAATCCAATTGAAAATCCCTGATATTAATCTATACACCTATAGATACTTGATATTTGACAAAGTAGCTAAAATTATACAGTAGAGAAAAAAATTCATCTTTTACAAATAGTGATAGCATAACTGGATGCTAACATGTATAAGATTGAAGACAGGTCCATATCTATCACAACGCACAAAACTTACATCCAAAGGTATCAAAGACCTCAATAGGAATACAGTCACACTGAACCTCTTAGCAGAAAAATTGGGAAATACCCTTGAAAAATTTTGTATAGGAGACTCAATTCTGCCCCCAGTGATTGGATAGAGTTGATGATTCCCAATCCCTCTTAGTAAAAAAATTTGGAAATACCCTTGAAAAATTTGGTATAGGAGACTCAATTCTGCCCCCAATGTTTGGACAGAGTTGATGATTCCCAATGGGAGGTATCACGCTCATTGAAGATTAGATGCAAGTGGGTGGGAAAGGAAGAACTTGGGGGGAATGAGAAAATGGGAGAATTATGTTGATATGATTGGTACATAAAATGAAATTATTTTAATTGAGATATAAAGTGAGAAAAAATAAAAATGAGTTAATTTATTAGGGATAATTAGCCAATAAGAATCCCAAAATCTTGGCCAAAAGGCTATAAATAGAGATTAAGCCTTGGCGTGATTATTTCCCAGCTCATGGTGGGGACCCAGAAGGTAGAAAGAAACAAGTATAGTAGGATCAAGACTCAGACAGAGAAATGTCTCCCTCCACAGTTGGTACCGATAGTCTAGTGATAGAGCTCAAACTTGAATTTCTAGGCTCACAAACAAAAATACATTTTGTACCAAACATTTGACAAGAATTTCTATGTAGAAACTAAAAAACAGCTTCCCATTAGTCACAAATTTTTACATAGCCTCCATTGATGGTGGTGATAAGATGTATCTGACAAAACTAGAATTTTAAAAATTACTTACAATATACTCTCTCTTTACTTAAGTAATATTTTATCCACCTGGGATATTTTTGGAGTTGAGTTGAAGACTGAGAGTTATAGATAATGTTTTCCTTACATATAATAAAAGAGAGATTATACATAAAATTTTAGAGTCAAAAAGATTGGATAGATAATAAATTATTTCCTTTAAATTTTGTCCAATGTAAATGGACATAATATTATAAGTATAATTCTTAAATTATAACATAAATTTACTATGTTAAAGTTGTAACTTTGCTTTTTATTTAGACAGAAAAGAGAAGATGTTGGGGAAATCTTTCTGCATGCTGTGACTATATATATATGAGATTGAATAATACAGATTGATGAATACAGATTTCTTTGAACAATGGGTAGCAAGAATTCAGCTAGGTGGGAATCCCAAATAAAGTGGTAGGGAGAAGGAAATCAGAGTCAAAAGATGCCATGTTGCCACCAAGAGTGATTTCAGGGCATTATCTATGTAAGTCACAGCTACAGATTAATATAATTTAGGTAATTTTTGGAACACCAGCCAAAACAGAAGCCTAAGCCCTTACTAAAGTATTATAAATAGATATTAAGCTTCAAGAGTAAATATTTCAACAGTGGAAGAAGGGACATGGATGTTGGAAAGAAAGAGTCTATCAGGACCAAGACCAGATAGTTAAACATCTGCCTGTAGTGTACAAAGTACCCAAACAAGAAATCATGTGCCATCAAATAGAATCTCTGGAATACATAATGGATACATTATTTCTGTGCTTACACCCCAGAGAGGGTATCGCTCTTGTAATTATTTATAAAAAAGTACCCAATGATGATGCCAGAATACTTTAAATATTGAATGGGGACACATCAAATTTTTATTCTACTGGCTAATTCAATCCAACTGAAATGCATTCATAATGCTGGAAAGTACTGTATATGCTACACAAGGAGAGCATATTCATCAGTTTTCCAAGTTTTGGACCATGTGACCACATATTTCGATTGACCTAGAGGATATGTACAAAAGTGACAGGGAGGTTTTATATATAACTAATGAGTATTTGACTGTTATTGTAAACTCCATTGTTAGAAACCGTATCTGACACTGTTCTTAGAGCCAAGAAACTGACACCAAACTGGCCATGGGCCCTACATAAAAAACTATTATTACACAATTTAAGGAATGTGGTATTAATGTAATACTATATTGTTATACCCACAGATTTATGACTCACACATCCTTCACTAGACAATCTTAATAGTGACATTTTGGAAAACTAAACACTACCTGGGATTCTTTTATCTTTACCCTCCCATCAGGGTGCAGGCACCTATGAATAAATGAAATAATTGGACTCAGACAGAAAATAAAACAAAAGAAACAGGATATGACTCTAGTTATTCAGAAGTTTACAAAAGTATAGAAACTATGAACATACAATTGCCAAGTCTGTGACAGCAAGTGCAAAACACATACAAGCTCAAGAAAATAAAAATTTCCAAATGTTCATTGAAAGTAAATCCAAATTCATAAAGCTTTGAAAAGATTTCTTACTCTTTAGATTCTAAGAGTAGGAAAATCTGTTCTTCAGTTGCTTAACAACATTGTATAGCAATCATTTTCAAAGACTTTTGTTCCAAATCACTTGGCCAACATAATTACCCCTCTATTTTTATGTATTTTCTAATAATATTTTGATAGAGAGAAACAATGGATAGGGGCATCATGAATAGGGTTAAGGTAGTAAAGCAAGGTTACATAATATGGCAAGAGAAAGAAACTGATCCAGATATATGGTAAAAATCTTCAAAAATATAGACAAACACTAGAAAAAGTAATCCATTTATCACTGACATACATCAGAAAAATTGAGACATATTGGAACATAAAAACCACATGTACATTGCAAAACTGCTATTGGAATACTAAATTGTATCTAATCCCTGTTCTGATTAAATGAAGGGAAACCATGTAAAACCTTCTGTGTGCTCTATCCCAGTATATAATTCTAAAAGAAATACCTGGGCATCACTTTTAGTAAGGAGCAGGGATAATACCACTGCAACTGTTTTTTTTTTTCCTCTTTTTGTATTCCAAACATGAACCATTGTTTCCTTCCAACTTACCTGGTTCTGGGCCTTGTGATTCTTCTATATTTACCAGCCAAGGTTCTTTGTTTTGTTCAAGACTGGTGACTAGCTCTGGTTTTGATTAAGAAAGGCCTATGAAATAGAAGAGATATTTGATAATTTCTTTACATAATGTGGAAAACAGTCATGTTATAACACAGGCTTATACTTGGTGAACTTAAAGGAACATAAAGGGAGACTCAAATGAAGTCTTATTAGTACATAATTGACAGGTTTTATAAACTATTTAGGAATTAATTTTAATTTATATACCTTCAACTTCCCTTCAATTACCCAGTTAAAAATATAAAACTGTTAAATTCAAACTTCATTCACACATTATTGCCAATGAATTAAAACAAAAAACAACAACAAATACCATATGTGATTGAGTTACGTGTTAGGCTAATTTAAAGAAATTTTAAAATGATAGGAGAAAAATTACAGTAAATATTTCACTCACCAATATCTAGGAATAGTTGGGAACTGAGATTCATTCATAGAAATCATTTCAAAATACTAATACAAGTTGCTAGACAGTCCTTGGGTTAGCAGCAATCAGAAAAAAATGATTATTCTCACCGACAGAAACCATGTTTCTATAATTCTCCAACATGACATCTCTGTACAAATCCCTCTGAGATGTATTCAGGAATTCCCATTCCTCTTTGGAGAAGTTGATGGCCACATCCTTGAATCTCAACAGACTCTGAAATGTACATTGTTTCCCCTTGTGATGAAGGTTTGAGACCTTATTTGCCCCAAAGGAAAGTTTATTTAACCAAATAACTTGCTTTTTTATCAGTGACCAATCTGCATATTTTAAATATTATGTGTTAAGAGGAAGGATGTTATGAGTTTTTAACAGAGATCAAAGTGACCAACATCTAAAATCCTCATGAAATTTGTGCCTTTTCTCAGTGACATAGATAAGTTATACTAGAAAATAAGAGGCCAGGAAGAGTAGAAACCAAGATACAGAATATAATTGAGAGTGATAATAAAGAATTTCTATTAAAATATTAAAATATGAAAACAGATTTCATACAGTTTGGAGCTACTGTGATTGTTCAGCTCTGTAACTGAATAATTTCTCTATGGACGTTCAAAGTTTCACATCCTCGTGCATACATTTACATGAGAAGACGCCATCTGTCAAGTCCCTTTTTTCTGGATCCTTTCAAGAATTTTATCTTAATGTTTTTCCTTCCTGATACAATTCTTTGTATAAGGAAAAGGCTCTTTCATTCCATTCTACCACACTCTGATTCTGGAAAGCAGCTTAAAGAAAATATCTTTAGTTCATGACTTCTACATAGCAGAGATGCAAAAAACATGAAATTTTACAGAGTGACCAACCCTTAGGTTTTCCTTCCCATATTCAGATGAACTGTTATTCCAGCAGATGGTGTTTATCTCTACAACCTGAGTTTGTGTCTGCAGCACTATGCTTTAGGCTTTGCACAGGTATTTTAAATTGATTCTCATCCTTAATTAAAAAAAAATACTGATACCTACGTTTGAAACCATGGCATCTGAGGAGTAGCCCCAGCTGAAAGCAATTCTCACACTGGGTAGGTGCTATAATTCAAACAGCAATGGTACAGTGGAATACCATTGCCTCAGCAATGTCTCAAAAGAGAATTCCCTTGAGTTTCTATGCTGCAACATCTAATTCCACCATTTTACATTTTTGCATTTATACAAAAGACTACATTCTCTCATGTTTATTTTGAACAGTAAAAATGCATCTTTCGAAATACTGTCAAATTCTGGCTTCTGGGATTAGGGGTTGTGAGGGCCTTCTATAGCTTTTTCCTTATTTGAATTTCTGAATCCCCAGGCAATCTTTAATAAGTGATAAACAAAGTATCAGCATACTTACTAATGGTTTTGAACCATGAATCCCAAACGAGATACCGTTTGCATAAGGTGTGGCCTTCCTGTAGTAGCTGTGGAGTTTTTTGAGTTGGTTTGCTCTGCTTGTAATCTTTGAATTTTCAGATG